CCCCCCCCCCCCCCCCCCATGTATTTATACACACACACACATACATATAAATCACTTCTGGTATTTCCTCTGAAATCCTTAGTCTGACTGCTCTTTAAGTGCTGAATCTAATAGATGGCTTCCCCAGTTAATTTACCGCCTGTATTATAAAATGCTGCCATCCAACAAGGGATCAGAACCCGACAGGAGCTTGAATACAGAAAACACAACAGTCTGCTCACAATGAGCATAAAAAAATATCATTGTAAAGCAGTTTACAAAAAGTGTCTTAAACACTATTACAAGAAAGTGAGAGAGTGACACTATTACAGAGCTACACCAGGCAGGGAGAAAAGTTTGAGTCACAGGGCTAGTTACTTGCTGCTGCCCGGGAAGGTGTGCACAAACGGGTAAGGAAGCATTTAGTACCTCCTGCCTCACACTGGACTCCTGTCCAGGCCTTGAGCTGCAAAAAGTCAGCATGTACTGTTTGCTCACATCCCCTTTCTTTGGTAACCAATTGAGAACACGTTACTTAGCTTTAGCATGAGCCAAGAAAATGCATTTCTTCTTAGTCTAAAAACATCTCGTTCCAGCTCAACTGGTCTCAGAGAAGATTTAGCTAAGAAGAATGAGGATGCCCTCCTTGAGACAGATGTTCTGGCTGCTTGTGGGCATAAGACTCCCAGCAGGACTTGACAATTGATAATGTTATTGCAGAAAATGCATTTAAGATCTGTTAATATGGTCCTCCTCCCAGTTGAGACTAGAGGATCTCTGTTCACCTGGTATCTTCTGCATTTATCCTGCCATTGTTCCAGAAGCAGAATTACTACTGGTGAAGAAAAGTTACCCATAGTAAGGGAATGGGCTCTTCTTCTAAGCCACAGAAAGGGGACAATGGGTGAATTTACTTTGCAATTTGAGAAGATTACTTCTTATCATCTAGGACATTTGCAGAAAACAGCTTCCTCAGCTCTTGGTTTAATGAATAAAGGAATCGAATCTTTCAGTACATATTAGAAATAGCCACAAGGATTGGCCATCTGAAATGGCTATACATGGCACTCTCTCCATACCCTCTGTCTACAAGTAAACATTTCTCAAGTGATCGTCTGGGAGAGCTGAAAGTGGGCAGAGCTCGGTGCCTAGCCAAGTTGACTCTTCAAGTTAAAATTTGGACAACACAGTGCTGAAAGTCTTGGAGATACTTTGCAGTGGCTTCGCTATGTTCGGTTTTTCCTCAAACAAATGTTCTTAAGATTTTCTAGCAAGCTGGTAATTTCCTTGCTGTATCAAATTTCTTGATACCTACCTGGGAGAAAATTTAGTTGATACATTAACATTTGCATGGCATATTTCTTTGTACTGTGAAAAAAGTCAAGTGAAGAGATGAAGAAACTTGCCCCAAAGTCACAATGGCAGCTGCAGAGCTGAGGGGGGACCCCCATCCTCACTCCCTTAACTCCTTGTCGTTTTGCAACTGAAGAAAAGCATAGCCAACAGGCAGTCAGATGAATGACAAACCTGCACAGCAATCTGGCTTCAACTGCTAGAGCTAAAGCTGCTTCTTACAGATAGTAGCAGAATCACATCCATCTCCTCTCAGGGGCAAGCCCCGAGAGCCGCCTAGCAGGCATACACTGGTGATGCACTATACCCCATGATCTATCCGTGGGGTTAGGCGGAAAGTAGTGTCCAAGGTACCTATCGTGGCAACATCTAAATGCAAGTATCAGAGCAGTTTACGGACAAATAGGTCTTTCCCCTAGGCTGTTTAAAATTTGCATGTTCCTGTGTAGCACTGAAGATAGCAGCAATGGTGATTCATTAAGATAATGATTTAAGTAGGAAGCTTAAGAAAGTCAGGGTGGATTAACATCCAAAGGGCTGCAGTTGGAGCTGCTCCACTCCAGGCTGCCACCTTCCCTTTTAAGGGAAGAGACGAATTCCAAAAGTCAGAATTATGAATTAACAGCAACTATATCACAACTACAATGCATTGAAGCACAAGAGCACCATCTACTCCAGCCCATCCTCCTTGGCAAGGTCAAGCACAAAATTTTGTGCTGCAGGAAAATTTTCATGGCATTATAAATTACTGGCTTTTCATTTATTTGATTAGTTTGTTAGTGGAGGTTCTCCTCAAAAAAAGATTGTGCAAATTTCTTTTAAACTAATTTTTTTGTCCACCTTAGAAACAATACAAGTTTTCGTCCAACCAACTGAACTATTGAATAATCATATGGGTTTGATAAATTGATTGCCCCCCACATAATAATGTAACTATACACATTGGAAAAAAAAGCACACAAGTCATTTCCACACCCCAGCATTTAATCAAATCCTAATCAGTTACAAGTTGAAACATGCATTCTGTCCATAACACGGGGTTAATGCTCAGACAGTAACAGGCAGCTCATACTTCATCCCTGGTAAGAGAGAGGCCTTCGTACAATGATTTTGATATAATACTTTCTGTTGCCTTCTAGAGAGATGCACAGGCAACCAATTTTGCTATTCTTCTGCTCACTCATAATAGTTGCAATAGGGCATCCCGGTGTATATTGCCCCACTCACCGCTAGCTGTGCTTGGTCTGAACGTCTTCCAGGCACTCTATCCCATGCTGATTCAGTACAGAATAGCTTCCTAGAATGCAATTACAGAAACAGTAAGGCTTTGTCTTAAAAAGGGATTATTCCAGAACAGCTATTCCTTATTAACTATTCTCAATCACCTCTTCGTGAGGATGATGAAGTTAAGTGGGAATAGGTCTTCTGCTCAGATTTGTAACTTACCTTGGTCTGAATCAATGACCCTGTTTAGAAGAGCCCTTAGTACAGCGTCATACAATCATAGCAATGGCTTCATCAGTAAAAATAGACTCACAGTTCTAATGAAAGTAGAGCTGCTGCATGGACACATCTCAGCTGAGTTTGTTGTAAGTTGGGCAGATAACAGGACCAAGAAATATTAAAAGAAAAATAGTTATTCCTATAACATTAGATCACATCAGTACTGTATGTGACATTTTGTGCTTTACAAGTCTCTGGATCAGCTTTGTTCAAACGTGGTTTATTCCTTAGATATATGGAGACCTTAACAGCAGGAAAATTTTGAGTTCTGTAGCTTCTTTGTTTATTAAGTTCTTAGCTTGCAAGATTTCTCATCCAAAAAGGCCTGAGAAAGTACCTGGCACATCTTGGATGCTTATTGAATACATTAAATAAATCAAACGTTTTATGATAAAATTCCACTCCCCCATACCAAACAGATGTAGGTGCAAGTCAGAGAGGCTTGAAAAATTGCACTAAAATTGATTTTGCTCCAGTTTTCCCCAAAGGAAAAAATTTGTGTGTGGGTTGAGATGAAAACATGGAAAACTTCAGCTATCATGAACAACTGAAAAGAGAAATGGAGGAAAGACAGAAGCCAAAACTGAACTTCACATTCAGAGTGCATAATTTATATTCTCTACAGTGTTCTGTATTACAG